AGATTTCATAAGCTAGACTCCAAAGACAAAATATTGCATTATTTTGGTTATATGCAGTACCTAGAATAGGCAAATTAATGGAGACAGAAAGGAGAATAGAGTAGCGATAGAATAGAGATTATAGAGGAGTTACTGTTTAATGAGTACAGAGTTGTTGGGAATGATTAAAAAAATATTTGGGTACAGATACTGGTAATTCTTAAACAACATTGTGAAACTACTTAATGCCATTGAACTGTATACGTATGAATGGTTGAAATTATGAATAAGTTATAATTTTACCACAATTTAAAAAAATTTTAAGTAAAAATCTGGTTTCTGGCTTCTTTAAAGGCAACAACAAATGAGATGGTCTGATAACATGAGATGGTCATGCTGTGTATATGAACGGTTGGTGGAGGCTGAAGCAGCTGCCAGTTCAGCTGGAACATGTGCTCTGACGATGCTGTGACCCCCCTCCGTGTCACTTTTCCTTCCACGACCTGGCTGCCCCATGAGCATTAGAGGGTCGGTCCTGGCCCTACCCCTTCTCATGTCAGTCTCCACCAGCCTTGCCCTGGCTCTCCCAGCCCTGGCCTGGTCCTCTCTCCCAACCAGAAGGGGAGGTCAGCAAGTAGCCAGCCATGTGGGCAGGTGCTTCACATGCCTTGACAATGACCACAAACAAAAGCACACAGGTGCTGGCCTTCATCTCCCCCCAGGCATCACTCAGACCTTGAGAGTTTCTCTGACATGGCAACAGCCAGACTGATAAGACTGCACTTTCACCCTCCCACGTGCTCGGGAGTCTGGAACAAGATGAGGCTGGCCAGCCACTTTCCTGACCTTGACTCCTGAGTCAGCCTCAGGAACACCCAGTCTCCCCGGGCAACTGATGACCAGCCAGTCCAGCAAACACCACCTCCTCAAGACTGGACTCACTTTCCTAGAGCCCGCATTTATCCGCGAGAGCCTCATTTCCAAATGCTTGAAATATGATGAGATTCAGGACCCAATGCCCCCAAATATGGGACCTTGGCATAGTGAACATTTTAAGCTGAAGGAGTTTGAGAACTGCAAAGCAGGAGGGTCACTCTGACCTCCTCCGACCTCCTCCCCACTCCTCCCCATTCTTCCCCAAAACAAGCCTTAAAACCCTCCTGTGGGAGGTACCCTCCTGGCACCCAGAGGAAGGGAGCATCCTTGTCTCGGAAGATAAAGGGACACTGCAGAAAAGAATCCCAACAAACAGGCCTTGGCAGTGCTCCCGATCTACAGTGATCTCAGACCTATCCTATCACACTCCTCTGAGTGTCCACTCTTATCAAACCTGGCACAGAAGTGCACAAGGCTGGGCTTCCCTGGTGATGCAGTGGTAAAGAATTAGCCTGCCAGTGCAGGAGACACGAGTTCAATCCCTGGTCCAGGAAGATCCCACATATAGCAGAGTAACCAAGCCTGTGCTCTAGAGTCCGGGAGCCCACACACTCCAGCGCATCTGCTCTGCAATGAGACGCCTCTGCAGTGAGAAGCCCGCACACAACTAGACAGTAGCCCCTGCTTGCTGCAACTAGAGAAAAGTCCACACAACAACGAAGACCCAGCACAACCAAAAATAAATAAAATCATTTAAAAAAAAAAGTGCATAGGTCTAACTATTGCTTCATTTCCCCACAAACACTCCTGTGTCACCTAATATTTATAATAAATAATTATGCATAATTTGCTTTTATTAACCTGACTTTGTCCATTTAAATTTTTTAGCTGGGGACTCTAAGACAGTCAAGGAAAAGTTTTTCCTCCCCTACACTTAGCATCATCATTCCAGACATAGTGGAAAATATTGCTAGTCTGTAGGTCTAAAATACATGCCAACTTCTATAAGACTCACCATGGAAAAAGAATGTAAAACAGCCTCTCAGTAATTTTATTATATTGATTACATGTCAAAATGCTATGTTGGATATACCGAGTTAAATAAAATATAGTTCTAAAACTAACTTCACTATTCTGCTTACTTTTGTAAACAAATTTACATTTTACCTGTTTTTCATGTGGCTCCTAGAAAATGTGGTCATGTATGTGACTCGTGTTTGTACTTTCATTGTATTTCTATTGGACAGGGCTATTCTCCATAGCCCACAGCCAAGGCTTCTGTAGAACTCTAAGATGACTGTATTTTCTTCACATTGAAAAGCAAACTGATTCTCTCTAGTCTTTTTCTGGGTGGCGCTATGCTAGGAGCTGCCCCGGGGCCCGGGAGGAAATCCCTTCTGGTCTCAGCGCTGGAGGCTCCTCATCCGGGCTGCGGCGGCCTTGAAGATCTAATCCTGCTCCAATTCTCCCTCACCCCCATGCCACCAAGGGGTCACCAGATCTCACACAAGCCTTTCCTCCCCGCCTGGCTCAAAAACAATGTGTCCACATCACTCAAAACCCCACACAGATGGTTCTCCCTGGAAACAATGGGACCAGTGTCGCAAACGCTGGGGGACTGCTACCACCTGTGCGAGGGTCACAGGCAAGTGCCTCAGCTGCGGTCCCCGACTCCCTGTCCACTCTCACCCCAGCTCAGATCCACTGGTTTCTTCGCCCCGGAACCTGGAGCCCCACCTTCCTGAGGCTCAGGCAGGCAGAAACAGCCCTTCTGCAGGCAGCAGGTGAAGTGCACCTGCTCAGTCACGTCCAACTCTTTGAGACCCCAAAGACTGTAGCCCGCTGGGCTCCTCTGTCCATGGAATTTTCCAGGCAAGAATACTGGAGTGGGCTGCCATTCCCTTCTCCAGGGGATCTTCCCAACCCAGGGACTGAACCCACGTCTCCTGTGTCTTCTGCATGGGCAGGCGGATTCTTTTACCACTGAGCACCTGGGAAATCCATCAGGTGAGGAGGCAATGATGATGCCTGGAACATCAGAACAGAAGGCAGGGGCTGGCTCACAAATTCTAGACAAACTGCCAGACACTGTGTCGCCACCAACAAACCTTGAGACATAGGGCCAAAACTTGCAACTTGGAATCTTGCCTTTTTTATTTTTAAATACATGCTTTGTCCCCATGAAGACCCAATAATGGCCCACTGACAGGGGCTGTGGAAGTGGAACTGGCTTCAAACCTCCTTTTTATCACTCAGGGCCTGCAGGACCCTGGAAAAGATTGCTCCATTTATTTGTGTCTGAAGTTTCTCACCTGTAACAACAGAGACAATCCCACCCACCTCAGAAGCTAAAAAAAAAAAAAAAAAAAGAAAGCATATGGGTGAAAAAGTGCCTTGTAATATCATAGGTGTTTGATAGATATTAGCTTCTTTCTCCTTCAATCTTCCCTTAGCAATGACAAGATAGTAAAAACCTCACGAAGAACTGAAAACAAATCCTCTACACTCTCATCTGGTTGCTTCTTGTGTGTTTTTAAAAAAAATCTGGAAGTTGGTGCCTGGTACAATTTAAAAGCCTGGGAGGAGAACTCTGAAGGCAAGGGATTCTGTGTAGTCCCAGCACAGCACCTGGCCAAGGCATGCATTTCTATTCTAATACACCAACCGTGGTGGTAGTGATTTAGTCGCTAAGTCGTTTCCAACTCTTGCGATCCCAAAGACTGTAGCCCACCAGGCTCCTCTGTCCATAGGATTTCCTAGGCAAGAATACCGGAGTTAGTTGCCATTTCCTTCTCCAGGGGATCTTCAGAGATTCCCCACTCAGGTCTCCTGCACTGCAGGCAGATTCCTTACCAACTGAGACACCGCAGGTTCTGGGTAAATCCTATTGAGTCAAGGAATGAATGAGGTCAGAGTTACCGAGGAACAGGAGCTTGGCTGATGAGTGTGAAGTCTGCGGCCACGAAGAGTAACTCTCTGAAAAGACGCTTATAGTCTGTTTAGGCAGTTTTGTGGAATCTTTTTTTAATCCCTAAAAAAAGAACTCAAGGTGTTCTATTAATATTTCTCCACCATTCCATCGTGCTTTACTTAGAAAAAAAGGTTAAAACACATGCCAAGAGCCAAACAAAGTCACCTCTACGTGACGAAGCATAACTTAGCATGGTGGGTTAAGCCTAAAAGAACACACTAAATTGATGGCTCCATGACAAGAATACATGCTGTTAGGGTGTTTTTCAATGTGAAATTCTTAGCATTTTCTGAACTTGGTGCGGAGTAGGGGTAAGGAATGGCTAACTATTCATACTAAATTTTAAAGATATATTTGGCTTTAAGTTAGGGCTTCCCTGGTGGCTCAGATGGTAAAGAATCTGCCTGCAATGCAGGAGATCTGGGTTTGATCCCTGGGTCTGGACGATCCCCTGGAGAAGGGAATGGCTACCCACTCCAATGTTCTTGCCTAGAGAATCCCATGGACAGAGGAGCCTGGTGGGCTACAGTACATGGGGTTGCAAAGAGTCAGACACGACTGAGTGACTATTTTCTCTCACAGGTGAGTGTGGAGAAGTCTGAAAACCAATTTGCTTTTGCTCCATAGTTAACAAAAAGGGTGTTGGGTTCTCTGATCTCACCAACCACCTGAGGGTGCATCTCCTGCCCTCCCCAAACAATGGGTTTGGGACTGCAGTGATCTTGTCTGAATCCTGTTGGGGCTGCAAATTGACAACTTTAACCCTCTGGAGACATGAAAGATCCTGCCCCCGACTCCCCAGCTTCACCCTCGGATACAGAAAACATCCAGTAACGTCAACCCCACCAATAACGCTGCAATGGAGATTTTCAAATCCGTGGCCACACCACCTTCGAGAACAGGCGGTTGTAAATGTCACCCTCAGTACCTATTTTTGAATTGCCCTGAGCAAAAAGATCCAACTGGCTTCTTCCCCAGCCCTCAAATCCATTCAATCTTCTGAAGGGTCAAACCCACAGGTTAAAGAAAACTGGGTAGAGGTTTTATGTTGCCTGCTTGTGCTGAGAAGGCCTGTCTGTTACTTTCACTGATTGTTTACACTATTACCCAAGTGGCAGGACTTACTGGCCTGAAAAAATTTAGCTCAAGTTACCTTTCTGGTGGTAAAGATGAACAGAATGACAATTTACCTTTAGAGAAGTTTGGAAATTTCTGACCCAAATAAGAGCTTTCTAAATGAAAGCTTAAACGTTCTAAGTCAGCGGTTCCCAACCTTTTGGCACCAAGGAAAGGTTTCGTGAAAGACAATTTTTGCACAGACTGGGAAGGGGTAGATGGTTTGGGGATGTCAAGCACATTACATTTATTGTGCACTTTATTTCTCATCTAATGCCACCGCTGGTCTGACAGGAGGCACCTGTCCATGGCGCAAAAGTTGGGGACCCGTGTTGTAAATGTAATAAACAGGGAAGAGAAAACAAGCCTTCAAGAACTAAGGGTTCCTGGTCATTTCTTAGATGTGTAGCCATAACTGCATGTGCTTTGGAAGAAGTGAGGACCTCCCTCCCCCAGGCAGCAGTCCAGATAAAGAAGGAACCCATAAATAGCTGTCTCAGCTGACACAGCGATCAGACTCACAAGTCCACCTTTCTGGGTCATTGACAGAGATGCAAAGAATTTTATATTCTCCTTCTCAAAAGGAGGAAAGACAAAGGATTAAGATATGAACTTTCCAGGCCTTCTGATGGCTTCTAAGCCTTGGAAACTCAGAGCAAGAATTTGATTCCATCCTCCTGGACTTGACTTTAACCCTCAGGGTAGGCATTTGACACCCAGCACTGCTCACACTGTCCTGGCTCCAGCTGTGGATAAAGAAGGTGAGTGCAGCGCCAACATTGCTCTGCCTTTCCATGTGGTGTAGGAGATGCTGCGCTCTGGGAAAGCTGGTTGGACAGGCAAAAAATACCGACCAACTTCCGATGACACAGAATAGTCCGACGCCCAGGGGCTATTCCCGGAGAAAGAAGAGCTTTCCTGTTCAAGCTGGTGAAGTAAGTTCAGGAATGAGATCATAAAGACAACATGTGTTCCAGAAGCACGCTTTCTGCTGGAGGAAGAGAAACTGCAGATGACAGCAAAGGCCCTTCCTTTGGTTTCCCCACTTCTCTTACATACTCACTCAGTCACACTCACTCACTCACTCACTCAGTCACGCCCAGCCACAGTCAGCCAGAGTCACAAACACTGTTGAAGTCAGAAAGGTAGAGCAGTTCGGTACAACGAACACCCTCAGTCCCACAGTGACCACCAGCCACTCCTCTACCCACCTGATTGCCAAAAACAGCTATGGAGCAGGCGGTTGACACCTCGTTAGCCCCGAACCAGACGGAAGCAATGCGGGAGGGCATACCCAGGATGAAGACCTGGGCCACGGAGCAGATGACCTGGCCCAGCACAGTGACTGGGAAGAGATGTGGCTTCAGGCTGCCCAGCTTCACCCAGGCCCCCAGGCAGTTGAGAGCGGAGCCAGCGAGGGCGATGGTCCGCAGGCCAAACTTCTCCAAGAGCCAGGCCACGGGCAGGAGCAGAGGGATGTAGGTCAGCATGTAGCACATGGACAGCCAGTCGATGGCAAAGGNCACCCTTAGCAAACAAAAACATAGACACGAGCATTGGGTTCATTGACCATCCCACGCCTCCTCCTGCAGCCCGACAGCATCACCTTGCAGGGCTGTGTCACCTGCATTTGCTCATGCCTGTGTCTCTAAAGCAAGGTGGGGAGGCCCAGGGCTGCACAGTCAAGCATCTGGCATATTCCAGGCTCTGCAGAGGAGGCATGGCCAGGTCCTCTGCCACTGATCCTGGCTGTTGCTCTCCAGCCACAGGACCAGGGATCAGGCTGCCAGCAACTAGTGACACAAGGGCTTAATCACATTTTCTCCCTTGGCATTTTGTCAGAGAGACCCAGAAAGTGCTTGTCATTCAGCAGTGGGTACAAAGCAAAGGGAAAAGGGAGAAGTACTGCGACATAGACTTGAGGCAACTGTTTGGTCCAGGAGCAAATCAACACAGGGAGGGAGCTGATGCACACAGATGGGAGACTGGAGCTGGGACTCACAGGGAAATCTTCTGTATGTAATACCTACCGTGTAAATTTTAATTTAACCATCAAAAACTTCTGATGGTTCTTCCAGGGCACCTGGAGACATGTTACATTATCCCCATTTCAGAGATGAGAAACTGAAGCTTCCTGATGTCAGGCAACCTGCTGATCTTTAGTGACCAAGAGCAGGGGCTTGAATCCAGTCCAAGTTGAGAGCCTTGCAGTCCACGGCCGCTGTTGGCACTTGAGGACCACTGCAGGTTCTCCATGGGCCAGCAGAGACAGACAGCTCCATTTCAGGGTGCTCAGTCTGGCTGCCTCGACTCCCGCAGACTGAGAAAAGCACAGACCTCTCTCTCTGCCTATATTTGCCTTTATTTGCAGTGTCGCTGCAAAAGACGGGAATGCGGAGCATTAAAACATGTACTGTAAATAAACCAAATTAAAGTAAAATTGACTCATTTAGCAACAAGCCTCCGATCTTGCATTAGAGGCAATTGAAGAGATTTCACAGATTTTAGTAACCAGATAAGATTATTATATAAACAGACTTCTGCATTGAATGATGAGCCATATCTTGAGGAGAATATTTGAAATCAATAGCAATACGGGCTGAGAATTAAGTAATGTGGTTAAGCACCTTTGAATGATGCCATTTTTAAGAGCTGATTAGGAATAAATATGCCAATTGCCGCAGAGCTGATAGCTGAAATAAAGTGATGATTAATCAATTTGGGCCTGAGAGCCATGGAGGCCATTTCGGTGTTGAGAAAGCTCAGGATCCTGATGATGGCCCTGAAAGGAGACAAGAAAGGATGTATGAGAGTCCTCAAGCAGAAGCACAGATCTGCCCACCCAGGGGCTGACCGTGGTGGTGTGGTGAGGAGGGGCCGGGGCCAGCAGAGGATTAGCTGTAAGCTGCTTAAGCTACTCACGCAGGGCAAGCCAGCATCGTAGGGTAGAAATTATGGTGGGGGGCACTGACACCCCTGGGATTGTGTTGCTGCTGCTGCTACTAAGTCGCTTCAGTCATGTCCGCCTCTGTGCGACCCCATGGACAGCAGCCCATTAGGCTCCTCTGTCCACGGGATTCTCCAGGCAAAAATACTGGAGTGGGTTGCCATTTCCTTCTCCAGTGCATGCATGCATGCTAAGTCGCTTCAGTCATGTCTGACTCTGTGCAATCCTATGGACAGCAGCCCACCAGGCTCCTCTGTCCACGGGATTCTCTAGGCAAGAATACTGGAGTGGGTTGCCATTTCCTTCTCCATAGGATCCGTGAGAGGGAACCTAAGCATCTGTATGATTGAAGATGCCCAGGTGATCTCAACATGCAGCCAAGTTTGAGCACCCCTGTGGTTTTAGAACCACTGGTTCTCATTGGAGGCATCCAATTTTGGGGGTAGAAATTATGAAGTCTTGGATTGTAATGGAGTATTTGAAAGGAGAATTCATACCCATTTAAGAATTTGTATTAATACATTACATTCACTTTCACTATTCTCAGTTTTCCAATAGTGTTTCCCATCTTTCTCCAGGGAACACAGAACTTCTGTTCTCTTGGAAAGCCTTCTGAGATCTCTGTTCCTTGCCCCAGGTTATCATGGTCCTTTCCCCAAACTCCACAGATACATTCTTAACTTCATTTAACAGATCTGAAAACTGAAGCCCAGAGTCAGAAAGTGTTGTCACAGTCCCACAGCTGATTAGCATCAGAACCAATAATAATGAGGTAGGTTTCTTGTGTTCATTTCCACGTGTCCCTCCCACATGCTCCTCAGGGCAATGCTTTAGTTTGCTGAGAATTCCTAGGGGATCTCACCTGGGATTCAAGTGATATTTGGGGTTGCTTTTTGTGTGGAGGGAGTCAGATCTACTGTGAGCTCTGGATTCAGTGTACTCAAGATTTGTTCTGCATTATGAGCTTTAAAAGACGCTTGCTCCTTGGAAGAAAAGCTATGACCAACCTAGACAGCATATGAAAAAGCAGAGACATTACTTTTCCAATAAAGGTCCGTATAGTCAAAGCTATGTTTTTTCCAATAGTCACACGTGGATATGAGAGTCGGATCTTAAAAAGGGTCAGGTAATGAAGAATCAATGCTTTTGAACTGTGGTGTTGGAGAATAACAATTTGAGAGTTGTTATTATCAAGTTACTCGTGAAAGTCCCTTGGACTGCAAAGAGATCAAACTAGTCAATCCTAAATGAAATCAACCCTGAATGCTCATTGGACAAACTGATGCTGAAGCTGAAACATGCTGACTCATTGGAAAAGACCCTGATGCTGGAAGAGTGAAGGCAGGAGGAGCAGGGGCTAGATGGCATCACCAGCTCAATGGACAATGAGTTTGAATAAGCTCCAGGAGATGGGGAAGGACAGGGAAGCCTGGTGTGCCACAGTCCTTGGGGGTCGTAAAGAATCAGACATGACTGAGTGGCTGAATAACAACAGTGAGCTTTGGGATCCTGGGCAAGTTATTTTACCTCTTTAGCCTCAAGTGTCTGAATGTGTAAAATGAGGATTAAACCACTTGCCTCATAGGGTTGTCATGAGATTTAATTAAGATAATGTATCATTGGTTTTCAATAATGATATTCTGGCAGCCTCCAAGGTAGTGCTGATTCCCACCAGGGAGAGGACAGGTATACAAATGTCAGGTAGATTTTACTTTGAACTATTCTGTATGTATCCATCGGGAAGACATTTACTGAGCAGTTTACCATATATTCCATCTATTTATCAGTATATCTACCTATCAGTATCAATAGGTACATATTCAGGGTGAAGGAGAAGTTCATTTTAGGGATTGCTTCCTGAAAAGGGGCCTGGTTCCTGGTTCTATTTCAGCTGACACCCCCCGGGAGCTTTGGGACCCACTGACCTGGAACTCAAGCCTTCCTGGCTCTCTACAGAAAATTAGCAATGTCTGATCCCTCTGTGTGCGTGCTAAGTCGCTTCAGTCGTATCCAACTCTTTGTGACCCCATGGACTGTTGCCCACCAGGATCCTCTGTCCATGGGATTCTCCAGGCAAGAATGCTGGAGTGGGTTTCCATGCCCTCTCTCCAGGGGATTTTCCCCACCCAGGGATCGAACCTGCATCTCTTTGTCTTCTGCTTTGGCAGACAGGTTCTTTACCATTAGCGCCACCTGGGAAACCTGCTCCCTATAGGCCAGCAACTACTCCTGGACTTGAAGTCAAGCTGTGGCATCTTTTTTGATAGCTTACCAGCATCTCCACTGGANCGTTCCCTATTGCTTGGTCCAGAGTCCTCTCTCCCATTTTATGGCTCTTTCGGCAACATCTGTAAATAAAATGTGTGTGTTTGTGCCCATTTGCTCAAATCTTGTCTGACTCTCTGCGACCCCATGGACTGTAGTTCGCCAGGCTCCTGTGTCCCTGAAATTCTCCAGGCAAGAATACTGGAGTGGGTTGCCATGCCCTTCTCCAGGCAATCATCCCGACCCAGGGATCGAACCCAGGCCTCTTGCATGCAGGCAGATTTTTTGCCACTGTGCCACAAGGGCAAAGTCGACCCTAGATGAATCTCCCTTAAAAAGTGCTGACAAGTGGAATTTGTAAAAAATGGTGCCCTTATGCATCTTGTATGAGTAACGTATGTGTGTGACACAGCACCCACACCCTGTCTGCCTCACCTGTCTCAGTTCCCGTATATTCCAGCTCTAAACTCTTGGGCACGTCTCTGTTCAGCCTGAAACCCTGAGTGAGGGAAGCTCCACTGAACAGGACTGTCTTGATATCTGTGCGTGGAGTTGAGTTGAATTCCACATCACCACAGAATTTCAGAAAACTGGGACAAAGAGGAGATCCAATGAGTTTTCAGAGCAATAAGAACAGGTTTCTTAAAACATTTTAAAGAAAACAGGTATAGAATGTCATCAGATTATTCTCAAGCCTGGAAAACTGGAGGTCAGTATAACAATGCCTTCTGGAGAATCATTTCCTGCCCAGAGTCCTATACTCAAAGCTATCCAAAAAAAAGTATTGGAAAAGAATCAAACATTTTCACACATGAATAGTTTTTTTAAAAGGTAGTTGCATATCCTCTTTCTCAGGAAGCTGCTAAAGGAAGTGCTCCACTAAAACAAGGGGGGAATCCTAGAGAGAGTAAGACATAAGATCCAGGAAACTGGGACATGATGGCAAGTGATGGGAATCACCAAATTGTGGTAAAAAAACATCCCGGGTGGACAGCTATGAGCCAGTCAGAGAAACAGCCTGCTCTGATGGAAGCTGATTAAAGACTCCAGGAAAGATTAGTCAAAAAGATGACACTGATAGGACGGTGTCTGAAAATATTGAGAAGGGTTTGCAGAATTGGGAGAAAACTGGGGGGTTGGAGTAGGGATAAGCACAAATTAAGTGCCACAATTTTGTCTTCTTCTTCTTTTTTTTTTTGCTTTTGTGTAATAAGGTTTTATTAAAGTATAAAAGAGATTAGAGAAAGCTTTTGACAGAGACATCAGAAGGGGATAGAAAGAGTACCCCCTTACTAGTGTTAGCAATGGAATTATATACTCTCCAATGAATTCAAAGAACATCTGGAGGTTGTAAAGACCTCACCAGACCTACTCCCATAATTTACATTTTAAGATAACAGGATTGGCCAGAAGGTTTAATCCAGAGACTGTCCTCAGGCAGGATACCTGTTATATAATTCTTGTAAAGACCAAATCTACTCCCGTAATTTACATTTTAAAATAACAGGATTAGCCAGAAGGTTTAATCCAGAGACTGTCCTCAGGCAGGATACATTATTGGTACATAATCCTAAGGAATGTAGAGGAAAGAAAAAAAAGCTTGTCCTTTCTTCCTCCTTGAGAATTCCATACCCCTCTCTCCTTGGGGACCCCTAGACTTCTTATCAACCAGGCTAGGAATTGACTTTCTCATTCCCCCCTTTTCTTTTAGGAGAATTATGTTGCCAAGGGAAGGGGGCGTCGTTTTTGTTCCATAACAACTTCCTGCTGTTGAGGGGCGTGGTCCCTAAATTGTTGAGGGAACATATTCTCCTAACCATCGTATTGAAGGTCTCTGATCCAGGGGCCCCATGTAATAGTTGGAGGAGGCTGTGTAAATGCCACAGTTTTGAACTCCAGTGGAATATAAAAATCTATGGAGGATGTAAAGTAATTAGCCTCCAACTAAAAAAAAAAAAATCTATGTAGGAACAAAGTCATGGTTACTTTAAGTGACTCAGTTGTGAACAGCATGAACACAATCATAATAATGTAAAGACTAAAAATTGATATAACCAAACATGACAGCAGTATTGGGAGGATGGAGGAACAGGAAGTGGGCACATGTATGTGGTGGAGGTGAGGGTGGGGTGAACAGAGCTGAATACCTGTGTGCCGTATTGGAAAGTCAATGGATGATGCCTAACGTGGACAAAATCAGGAAGTATCTATATACCCATGTTGTTTAGAGCTAGGAAGGTAAATACCAAAAAAAAAAAAAAATCATCTGCTAATGGCTGAAAATAGTTGACTCAGAGGAACAGGAAAGCAGGGTAAATAGTGATAGTTTTGATACATAACTGAGTTTTAAACCATGTATAACTTTGGTTTAAAAAAAAAAACAACTAAAGAATTTAAAGATAGAACCAAATTAAATAGAGATTGAGCTGCTTCACTGAGGCCCATGGGTGTGTCCAGGGGTGAGGTCAATTCCATCCTGGACTTTATAATGTTGGAGTTAAAATGAATACCTAGGCTGCAGCCTTGGAGACTCAGGGAAGCTTGTGCTGGGTGTCACCTCGAAAAAGCAGGTGTGTGATCAGAGGCCGTTACCTGCACTCACGTCTTGACCCTTCTCTGATCTTCCGTCTGCTTCTAGTGACTGTCAGGCTTGTAGACTCTCTGGGGGTCTGATGCCTTCTACAATATTTATGATCACCTGCTGCCCCAGCGTCCAAAGGCTGGCCCAGGTCTGAGTCTCCCCTGAATCCTGTGTGTCAGTGAGTCGCTCTGCCAGCTCGCAGTCACAGCCAAACCCAAACCCTGAGCATCACTCTGTCCGCTGCGTGCTGACCTCACCATTTTAGTCCAGGTTCTCGTGGCTCCTCACCTTGGTCCTGCGATGCCCTCCTCATTGTTCTTATGCCTCCCAGTTCCCATCCCGCAGCTCCACAGGGCTCTGCAGCTCTCTCCAGGCCTCTGTCCTGCCTCGAGTCCTCCAGTGGCTGCCCCTAGCTTGCAGAAGGTCCTCACTCCTTGGTTTAGCACACAGGTCTTTGTGATGTTGCTCTGGCCACCTCTCCCACCACCGCCCACTCCCACCTTTCACTCCAGGAGGGTGGGCCCACTTGTAGCTCCCAGTGAGCTACATGATTATGAACTCATCATGCCTAGCATGTGACTTGCCTCACTGCAGGACAAGCTTCACCTCCTCCAGGAAGCTTCCTCAGCTCCCACCTTTCACTCCAGGAGGGTGGGCCCACTTGTAGCTCCCAGTGAGCTACATGATTATGAACTCATCACTGCAGGACAAGCATCACCTCCTCCAGGAAGCCTTCCTCAGCACCCAAGTGTGATTCAGAGGCTTCCCTTACATCCTGTATGTTCCCCTTTATGTAGCTCCTGTCTTACTGTAGCATGAATGTTTATTTTCTTCAGTAAGTCATCCACTTACTTGAGTCCCTCGAGTCCCTCAGTAGGACTCTTGCCTGTTCATGTTCAAACCACAACCTCTAGCTTGTTGTCCTGACCTAGAAGGGACATAATGGCATAGCTGAAGTGACTTCTGAGAGGCAGTTCCTGACGAATCCCCCTCCGGAGGCCTCAGCATGAATGAAAGCAGGTCCAGGTTGTTCTGAATCGTCCCATCTCGTCTGTTCACTTCGTTTGCCCATTTCTTTCCTAAAGCGCCTCCTCCATGGGTGTTGTCCATCCCGCGCCCCCCCACCCCAAATCTCATGGAGCCCATGGTCAGGATGATTGGGGGGCACGCCTACGCTGATGGGGAATCTGAATTCCTTCCCCTCTTCCTTCTGTTCAGAGAGTCTCCAAGTCCATCCTTGAAGGGGATATAGGCAGAGCCTGCTGAGGCACAAGGCAGGAGGGAGATCCTTCTCCTTAGAAGAGGAAGGCATGAGAGCTTCGTGTCTGGATATAGAGATGCCGGGCTCTGCCCTGGGTGCAAGGTTCGAAATCGATTTTTCAGTTCCTTGGAAACACAAGGCTGCACCTAGAGGGGCTGCAAATGGTATCAGCCCTTCTTTAAGGAAAGTCCCTTGTGCCCATTTTATTTTCAGCTGTACCAACTGGGTTGTGTCCATGGGTATCCACGGTGTTGTTCTTCATACCTCTTTATGTCTTGAGTGCTTCTTAATAATTAGAAAACCAAAAAAAACAAAAAGTTACTCCACAAACATGGAAAGCCTTAACTAAAAAAACATTAGTCAAAGAGGAAGGAGATGTTAAAATGGCTTTTTTTTTTTTTTTTTGCATAATCTATAGAAAGCCCAGAGGTGTGAAGCTTTCTTTGCATAATGAAATAGAGGAACTGCATTAGCAGTGAGAGTTGTTGCTGCCTGGGCAACAGTTAACAGCCCAAGGGTGACGAAGCAGAGGGGTGCTGACCCAGCAGGGTTATGTGATGTTGGAACTGCAGTGTAGACAAGAGATAGAATCATCTGGTCCAGCCCCGTGCTGTATAGAGATCCTCTTGGGCTTGTGGAGCTGTCTTCACAGTCATTCATTCATTTTCACAGTCATCACCACAGACCCAGTGCTGCTCTGGGTGTCAGGGAAACCGACACAACAAAGACCATGGTTCTAGGGGACTTCCCAGGGGGCCCAGTGGTTAAGACTTCGCCTTCCAATGCAGGGGGCGCAGGTTCAACTCCTGGTCAGGGAGTTAAGATCCCATATGCCTCACAGCTAAGAAACTAAAACATAAAACAGAAGCAATATGGTAATAAATTCAATAGAGACTTTAAAAATGATGATTATGTCACTCAGTCATGTTCAGTTCTTTGCGACCCTCCAGGCCAGAGTATCAGAGTGGATAGCCTTTCCCTTCTCCAGGGGATCTTCCCAACCCAGGGATCAAACCCAGGTCTCCTGCATTGTAGATAGATTCTGTACCAACTGAGCCACAAGGGAAGCCCAAGAATACTGGAGTGGGCAGCCTATCCCTTCTCCAGAGTTGGGAAGGTCTGCTGGAGAAGGGAGAAAGCTACCCACTCCAGTAGTCTGGCCTGGAGAACTCCATGGACTATACAGTCTATGGGGTTGCAAAGAGTCAGACAGGACTTTAAAAATGGGTCTCATGAAAAAAGAAATCTTTAAATAAAACAAAACAAATGAACAAAAACAAGAAGACTGTGGTACTTACCCTTGGGGAATCCACAGACTCACAAGACAGATCTGTGAACCCATCATTGCAGGGCAATGCAGTGAATGCGTGGTGGAGATCCATGCTGGTTCACAGTTGACAAAGCAGGGAGCCAGAAGGGGGCTTCTCAGAGAGATGTTCCAGCAGAATCTCGAGGGGTAGGTAGGACTTGGCCAGACTCTGTAGCAGAGTTGGGGTTCAGTGATGAGCAAAACACATGTGTTCCCTCCCTCCCTGCACAGAGTTGATGGTTTAGTTGGGAGGACAGCCATCAGTCAAACAGTCACACCTGTAAGTAAAACTGGGATAAGTACTATGAGGGTCATTTGTAAGAATTTATAAAGAATGGGTGAACTAGACCCTAAAGCAGGTCTTAAGAAAGAGTGGGAACTAAGTAACAGAAAGAGAGAGGAAAGGCATTCCAGGCAGAGGGAACAGTACGTGCAAAGGAGAGGCAGGAAGGAGCAGGGCCTTTCAAGGAGTTAAACAAAGTCTGTGTGTCTGGAGCAGAGAGAGGGTGAAGGTAAGACTGGAGAGAGAGTCAGCAGCTTGTGCTGCAGGAGCCATCACAGGCTTTTCATTTTATCCTGAGAGCAGAGGGGAGCCACCGAGAGGATTCAAGCAGAGGAGGGTCAGATCTGTCACCGGGAGAGGCTGCTCTGGCTGCTTCCTGGAGAAGCCAGTTGGGGTGGTGGGCGAGCGAGGGGACAAAGAGACCTCTCATGAGGCCGCCGTGTCACCCAGGTGAGAATGGAGCCTGTGGACGGAACACGGGCAGCGGCAGGAGGATGGGGAGCAGTGGGCGGTGAGGGCGAGGGCTGGACGGGATTGGATGGGGAAGGGGCGGCACAGGGAGGATTCGGCATGATGCCCTTGGAGGGAGGGGAACGGCCTCCTCCTGGAAATCTTGCAGAGACAAGTTGTACAGGAAAAGCGCCTGCATTATACCACTCCCCCTCCTGTATCTCCTGCTTCCCTACCAGGCCTCCCACCCCTTCCTGCAGCTACTTTAAATTCAGAGTATGAGTCCCATGAAAAGCCAATAATCAAATTTTATGGAAAGTAAATCCTCTCCTTTTTCACTCTTTAGTGTCACACACCCTCGAGGCTTCAGGATGGGATGCTTGGCTTAGGTTCACTTTAATTCTGTGAGTAAATGAATAATTAGAAAGAAACAATCAGGTCCAAGATGAAACCCAAGGATTTATGGATTCCCTGCAGTTCTCCCAAGTCGATAGCTGGGTGAGGTCCCTGCAGTTAATGCCCCAGCTGCCCTGAGCTCATAGCAGCCTTGGAAGTGTCTCCTAGTGTCTCAAGCATGGAGACCAAGAATGCTGACTGCACCTTACTTTTTTCAGTCACCTTTTCCTCTTACTGTTACTGCAAGTGGCAAATGCCCAACTTGAACCAGCTTAGGCCCAAGGAGAATGTGTTTCAGCTGCAATAGGGGAGATCACAGACTTCAAGGAGGAGGTGACCAGGCAAGTGGTAGAAAGGTCAGAACATGACTGATGCCCTGGGAACTGCCCCAGCCAGGGCTGGATGGCGCTCAGGACTCTTTCCTTCTCTCCGTCTCCCTGTATCTCAGTCCCTCTGAGCTGCTGTAACCAACATACCTGACACATGGCAGAAATTTATTTCTTACAATTAGTTCTACAGGCTGGGAGGTCCCAGGTTCTAGGTGACGGCAGAATCAATGTCTGGTGAGGCCTAATTCCTGTTCCTAGAAGGCTTCTCTTGCTGTGTTTCTCTGGGGTCTTTTTTTTTTTTTTTTCAAATAAGGGCACTAATCCCATTACTGGGGGTGCCACCCTCATGTCACAGCTCCCCACTAAAGGTCCCAGCTCCCAACACCATCACATTGTGGTTTAGGTTTCAGCATGTACATTTGGGGGACACAAACAGTTCATAGCATCCTGCATGTCGGCTTTCTTTGTCTCTCTTTCTAATGACTGGTTTTCTGCATTGTGCTGTTTCACCTCTTAACCTCTTCAGCTGCCTGAGAAAGGCTGCCCTGATTTTCTGACTGAATACAAACTCCAGAGTAACAATCGGGACCACAACCACGTTGGAGTCTGCCTGTGTCCATTTCTCATGCACGATAACCTGTGGATACTGCAGACGCCTCCAGAAGCCAAGCACAGCCCTGTGTCTCTGCTGTTACAGATGTCCCTGTGACAATTCACCTTCCTGGACCCTCCCCCTCTCCTTTCTCACTCCTTAACGTCCTTCTTAGTCCCCATTGCTCCCAAGAGCCCCTTTACCTGCCCAGCGGGAGACCATAAACGGCTTTCTGGCCCAAAAACTGGCTGACTGATCTCCTTTAGAGTGAAAGTAAAAGTGGAGTCGCTCAGTCTGTCCGACTGTTAACCACCCCGTGGACTGTAGCCTGCCAGGCTCCTCCATCCATGGGATTTTCCAGGCAAGAATACTGGAGTGGTTTGCCCTTTCCTTCTCCAGGGGATCTTTCCAACCCAGGGATTGAANGCACCAACACAGGACTGCTGTCCCCATCTCATAGCCTGGGACTTGAGAAATTCCCTTGCGGGCACTCAAGCTTGGTGAACAGCTCCAGCTTCGGAGGCAACAAGGGCAAGTTTGAGTCCCATATCTGCCCTTAGCTGTGTGACCTGGAGCAAACCATTTCACCTCTTTTGAGTCTGTTTCTTTACCTGTAAAATGGGGATAATTATAGTCCCTACAATAAGGTAAACGTTCAAGTGGCAGACACTGCTGTCCCTGCCCTCGGTGAGAAGATTAAACAGCATAGTTCCCTTATTCTTTTATCACTCTTATTTTGTGCCTTCCCCCCCACCCCAGCCCCCCACTGTCTGCAGTGCCAAGGCCCCTCTGCCTCCACTGGGCAGATGGCTCCTCCTGCCGGCAGGCTGCTCCCACCTTTCCTGTTGGCCTCACTTGCCTTCGAGTTTCCTTTTCAGATCCGTGGATTCAAGGAAAGCAAGTGGATTTTTAGAAATGAAGTCACACCGTCTCTTCAGGAAGTGGTATTGGGATGGCTGGACACCTGCATGTAAATCAATAAAGAGCCCACCAGGTTCTTCTGCCCGTGGAATTTTCCAGGCAAGAATACCGGAGTGGACTGCCATTTGCTCCTCCAGGGAATCACCCCAGGGATCAGACCCGAATTTCCTACATCTCCTGCATTGCCAGGCAAATTCTTTACTATTGAGCCACCTGGGAATTCCCATGACATAAATCATATCTTTTTTTTTTTTTAAGTGAGTCTCCAAAGAAAATTGAAATTAAAACAAAAATAAACAAATGGTACCCAATTAAACATACCAGCTTTCGCACAGTAAAGGAAAGCATAGACAAAAATGAAAAGACAACCTACAGAATGGGAGAAAATATTTGCCAACGGTCTAATAGACAAGGGCTCAATTTCCAAAATGTACAAATAGCTTATACAACTCAACAACAACAAAAAACAGACAACCCAATTGAAAAATGAGCAGAAGACCTAAGTAAACATTTCTCCAAAGAAGAAATACAAAGGCACATGAAAAGATGCTCAACATCCTTAATTATTAGAGAAATGCAAATGAAAACTGCAGTGAGGTACCACCTCACACCAGAATGACTATCATAAAAGTCTGCAAATAACAAATACTGAAGAGGATGTGGAAAAAAGGGAACTCCTTTAACACTGTTGGTGGGAATGTAAATTGGTGCAGCTGCTATAGAAAACAGTATGGAGGTTCCTCAGATAACTAAAAATAGAACTACTACTATATGATCCAGCAATTCCATCCTGGGCATATAACCAGACTGTACTCTAATTCAGAAAGATACACGCACCTCTCTATTCATAGCAGCACTATTCACAGAAGCCAAGACAGGGGAACAACCTAAATGCCCATCAACAGCAGAATGGATAGAGAAGATGTGGTACATACATACCATGGAATACTACTCAGTGATGAAAAGGAATGAAATAACACCATTTGCAGCAACATGGATGCAACTAGAGATTATCATACTGAGTAAAGTAAGTTAGAAAAAGAAAAACAAATACCATATTGTATCTCTTATATGTGGGATCTAAAATATGATAAAATGAACCCATCTATGAAACAGAAATAGTCTCATAGAGAATAGACTTGTGGTTGCCAAAGGAGAGGGGTTTGGGGGAGGGCTGGAGTGGGAGGCAGGGGCTAGCAGATGTAAGGTATTATATATAGAATAGATAAGCAGCAAGGTCCTATTGTATACCACCAAGAACTATATTCAGTATCCTATGATAAACCATAATGAAAAATTATTTAAAAGATCATATATATACACATATATATATGTAAAACTGAATCAGTGTGCTGAACAGCAGAAATTAATACAACATTGTAAATCAACTACGCTAAGTAGCTTAAGTTGTGCCCAACTGAATTATGGACTGTAGCCTTCCAGTCTCCTCTATCCATGGGATTCTCTGGGCAGGAATACTGGACTGGGTTGCCTTGCCCTCCTCCAGAGGACCTTCCTAATCCAGGGATCGAACCTGCACCTCTTACATTGTCTCCCGCATTGGCAGGCAGGTTCTTTACCACCAGCGCCTCCTGGTAGATAGCTCATGGATGCTACAAACATGGTGGTGGTGATACCTGGATGACTGCAGTGTGGAAAATAGCAAGTAAGAGGAGTGGGTACACACTCAGAGGGAGAACATCCAGGGGCGCAAACAGTGACAACGCCGTGTCGTGTCATTTCAGTGTCGGCACACCTCCTCTCTGTGAATCAGGTAACCGCACACGAAGCGACTGACACACCCTGTTTCCATCCCCCACAGTCTCCGTGGCCTACGAGCCAGGACTCAGTGTCCCCTCAGAGCCTGGCCCCAAGTCCCGTCACGGAGCTTGCTTCCCTCTGTCTCCCAGACACTCACTCCCTTGGAAGCTGACCTGTCCCCAGCATCTCCACAGTCATCAAAACCCAGCACCCAGCCAGGGTCCTGGAAAAGTCTGAGATGTCACAAGGAATCTGTGGGGCCTAGAGATCCAGCAATCTTTCCCTCTCCTTCGTGAAAGTCAGTGAGAGGTGGGAGGAGGCAGGGATGGAGGGTGGTCTGGGGCTGGTGATATCCACTCATTCATGTCTTCCTTCAAAAAGTGCATTTAGAACCCTGACTACGTGCCAAAGACTAGTCCAAGCACAGAGGAAGTGATGGGGAAAACACTGACAAGTTCTCAAACTGCTGAACTTTTCAGTCCTGTGGGGAAGACACTCAGTGGATAAACAATGACCATAACATTGTGAAAGGCAGTGAGACAGAGTGAGGTGGAGGGTAGGGAAGGCCTCTCTGAGGAGGTGATGTTTCAGCAGAAGTGAGGAAACAAGCCACAAGCTCGATATCTGTATCGAGCAAACTCAGACACTGGAATTGGCAGGTGCAAAGGCCCTGTGGTGGGATCATGGTTGGTACGTGCAAGGCACAGCAAGAAGGTCGTGCGGCTGAAGCAGAGAAAAGAGAGTGGGGGACAGATGTTCAGCTATGTAGGCAGGGGCCGCCTTGCATGGAGTCTATGGGCTCTGGTGAGGACCTGGGCTTTGGTTGAGGTAAGAAGCTAGAGAGGGTTTTAAGTGGAGGAGCGATGTGGTTGACTTGCACTGTAAAAGGATCACTCTGGCTGCAGTGTTGAGTAGTCAGGGAGCCAAAGGTAGAAGCAACAGAGCAGCTGGGGAAGCCTGGCAAGGGATGAATGAGGCAGGTAGATACATATGCTTTGGGGTAAGAGGTATTGATGGTGAGCTGGGTGGGTCACGGCACCAACTGTCAAGATGGGGCATCCCTCTGTGAACATGTAACTCATCACAGAACAGTCATGTCTTCAGTTATTTGGGTATCTCAAGGACCACACACACACACACACACACACACACAAACATGTAGACACACACCTATACACACACACACTCACATACACACACAGATATATACACACACATATACACACATACACACAGATATACACGCACACACATAAACATATAGACACACACCCATACACACACACACAGATATATACACACACACATATACGCACACATACATATACACACAGAGATATATATGCACACACATAGACACACGCCCATATATACACACACACATATTTCCTTCTCCAGGGGATCTTCCCAACCCAGGGATTGAACCTGGGTCTCCTGCATTGCAGGCAGCCGCTTTAACCTTTGAGCCACCAGGGAAGCCCACACACACACACACACACAGATATACACACACATACATATACACACAGAGATATATATGCACACACATATACATATAGACACACCCACCNCATTTATTTTTATTAGTTGGAGGCTAATTACTTTACATCATTACAGTAGTTTTTGTCATACATTGAAATGAATTAGCCATGGATTTACATGTATTCCCCATCCCAGTCCCCCCTCCCACATTCCAAAAGGATATTTTTTATATATTACTTTAAAACCCGTTAAACTTCTAACTGTTTTAAAATTCTCAAGTTAAAAATTTAATGTGAATCTTCATTGCATCCTTGAACCTCATCCCATCCTCATCCTCCAGTCTTTCCTTCACTCCATTTATGATCCATTATATCAGACTTGCCAGGTCAAAATGGCCCTTGAGTCAAACATTCCACTTTACTTCAAGTTGTTTGACTCCTTGCAAGTATGAGGCTGTTCTGGCTCACTACATAGTGATGACTGATGAGGACTTGTGGCTGCCAATGGGATGCTCCCTGCCCTTGACCATCCTGTCTACCGGTAGCCTTTTCTCGAGGCTTGGGTGCTTGCTGTGTCAACTGATGAGTTGTTTTTACCTTGGAGAGGGTCTACAGATAGGTTTCAAGAGTCTATGAATCCCTGAAATCGTATAATCTAGATTTGGTGAGTACATACATACAAAGGGAAGCAAATCAATCCAATGGCTACCAAATGTGAGAAATTAGGAGATAGATGGGCCCATGGGCTGGACAGCTGGCGTTTGTCAAGTGAAGTAAAACTGAAGCTTTGTTCTCACCCAGACACTCCAAGGACAAAGCCAGTGGCAGAAGTTGAGCTCTGTTCAAGTAAAGAGATAAGGTGCCCACTCCTGAGGTCAGGGAAGACTTCCCTGTCTGCACATGTGCAGGAAGTCTCCTTTGGGGTCAAAAAGGGAGGGGTGCCAAGGCATAATAAGTGTAGACATACTCTCACAGACCTCAACGGTGGGATCCATCTTAGCAAAAATTTGAACACGCATCTTGGGGAGGGTCCTAGGACCAGTCGGGAGTGAAAAAAGAAATAAGTAAGTGGCCAAAGGTAAATGAAGCCCCAGAAGAGCCATCCTATATAAGTGATTGAAATCACCTCTTTATTACCTACCACCTTATTGGAGAGGACACCCAGACCCTTTCTCTCAGGGTACGCATTTCTGCTTTGCTTCTGTTTTAAATAAACAAACTGCTTCTCTGCTCTCCCACGTGTTATGCTGGATCTCTAATAGTAAACTTTGTACCTGCTTTTACAGTGTTTGCCTCCTTGAAACATTCTTGCTTTCAATGGGGGTTAGGGTCATGGGAACTTTGCTTCTAGACTTTAGCCCCTGCTGATCTAGTAGCTAGGATTCCTGGTTTTCACCCAGGCTACCCAGATTCATACTGTTCATGAGGTTCTCAAAGCAAGAATACTGACGTGGTTTGCCATTCCCTTCATCCAGGATGAGATGGTTAGATGGCATCACCAACGCGATGGACATGAGTTTGAGCAAGCTCCAGGAGTTGGAGAAGGACAGGGAAGCCTGACGTGCTGCAGTCCATGGGGTCGCAAAGAGCTGGGCACGACTGAGGAACTGAAATAACGGACTGACCCAGATTCAATTCCTGGGCAGGGAACTAAGATCTCTCTTTAGGACCATTCACCGCTGTCTCTCTGAAGTCAAAATCACCAGTTTAGATGGGTACTAAGATATTTCAGGTAAAAAACAAAAACAGTCAACTTTTGAGTATGCCACCTAATATCTGCCCTCACTAGATACACCGTGTTCAGGCCTCACTCTTCGGTTAGGTTTTTTTCGTCGCTATGGGCAACCAGATCAAGTAGCCCAAATATTAAGTGAATTTTTTAACACAAATGATGCACTTTGGAGGTAACCTCTGAGGACTAAAGAGAGAAGGACTAAGCTGGATTAATTCTGGGCAGAGTGGAGCACATGTTTCGTGAAGTCATTCCTGCCTTCTAGAAGGTGACCCTTTTAGTCTTGCTCCATTTTGCACCAAGATTCCAAGAACCAAGTCTAAAAGGAAAATGTGGATTCTGGTTTCCATGTTTCAGGTGACTTTGGGTTTGGGAGAAGACCCAGAAAGAGCCGTGGGAAGTACAGGAAGTGGGAACTGCTCCTGCTTACCTGCCCAGCTATGATATCCTGCTACGTTTGAGACCGAAATCGCTCAGCAGCCACACGTTTCAGGTTGAGGTAACTCTCCACTACCTTAAAGGTCAGGACAGCCGCTGTGCTGACAGAGGCTCCCTCCCCCTGGCAGTCTACCCCACAGCTCTTGAGTCATCACGTCTGGATGACTAGGCTGACAAAAACAAGGTTTCAGGGGCTGAGTCGAATTGGTGGGAAGCAGGGTGGTAGGGCAGAGCGGTGGAGCAGGAAGAGCACTGCCCTTGGAGTCCAAGGATCTGGGTTCCAGCCCCTGCCCCGTGAACTTGGGTGGGCCTGCCACGTTGATCTCTTTGGCTGTCGGATGCAACTAGATAATGCGAGACATGCTGCATGAACTTCCCAGGAAGTGGAAGGTGCTCAGTGAGATGGATTGTGCAGGACTCACACTGAGGCAGAAGTCTTGGCCCTAGACCAGGATACGATCCTCCTGGTTCACCTCGTCTTACGGAGACCAGGTTGGTCCCTAGATCTGTAGAGATTTGCATCCCTAACCATTCATTTATTCAACAGATGTTTCCACAGAGCTATGCTGAAGCCCGACAAGGCACCAGCTTGCATCTAGAGGTTACTTCTCCTTATCCTGGAAACACAAATGGTTGGCTGCCAGAGGTAGAATGCAAACTGTCTGGGTCTCTCCTAAGCTGGGCAGTGGAGATGGATTCAGGAAAGGGAAGGAAGGAGGGGGGTTTGTCGCCACAGTTCTCTGTCTTGTCCCTAGGTGGCAGCACCAACACAGGACTGCTGTCCCCATCTCATAGCCTGGGACTTGAGAAATTCCCTTGCGGGCACTCAAGCTTGGTGAACAGCTCCAGCTTCGGAGGCAACAAGGGCAAGTTTGAGTCCCATATCTGCCCTTAGCTGTGTGACCTGGAGCAAACCATTTCACCTCTTTTGAGTCTGTTTCTTTACCTGTAAAATGGGGATAATTATAGTCCCTACAATAAGGTAAATGTTCAAGTGGCAGACACTGCTGTCCCTGCCCTCGGTGAGAAGATTAAACAGCATAGTTCCCTTATTCTTTTATCACTCTTATTTTGTGCCTTCCCCCCCACCCCCCCCTTTCAAGAGCACCCCTGATGCTTATTTCAAATGAGCATGTAGATGAACACTGGGCTGGGGGAAGGCAGGGGAGGGTCCAGTGTGACTTTCCTAGAACAGATCCAGCTTTCCCCCTTCCTTCCCTTCCCTTCTCTACCCCTTCTCTTCATTATCTTTCTGCTACCCTGGGATTTTTATTTTTTACTTACAAATGTATGTTAACCACTTGCTCTGGGCAACTGTAAAGCCCTGGGCTAGGCGGGACAAGTAGGGGTGGGATGTACAAAGGGAGCAGAGAGGACAACTTTTTTTTTTTTGGACTACTTCTCAAAGCATGCAGGATCTTAGTTCCCTGACTGGGGATCAAACCCATGTCCCCCTGCCACGGAAGCATGGAGTCCTAACCACTGGATCGCCAGGGAAGTCCCGGATGGGAGCAGAATTATATACACTGAAGACAGAGTCCTCCTTCAGAAGTGTTCCCAGTCTTGTGGGCGCTGAACCAATCGCTAGGTGGTGGGCACCCAGAGCAGCTGAACTAATTATTAAGATATTTACTTTGTTGCAAGTTAGTAATCCTTGCCCTAATGCCGTTCCTTGCTGCAGTGCAGAGAAGGCTCCACTCTGCTCCAGCACCAACGTCCATGCTGATTGGCCAGCACCTGGCCTGAATTTTGAATATTGCCCCTGAGCAGGTTGGTTGAACTCCACACAGGATGAACTACAGAGGATGGAGAATGCAGCCTGGAGGCTGAGCTGCCAAGCCCCATCCCAGTGATAGTTTTAAAATCAGAGCCTGGGGTTCTCGCCAGAGGCAGTGAGGGGTCTGAATTCAGGTCAGGCACGCCAGAGGCTGGGGCAGTGCTGGCTGAACGCTCATTTCTCATGGAGAACGGGGCATCCCAGAACCCTCTCAGAAAACAATCTATTCCTATCGGCCCCTGAGAATTAGGATCCAGCACTCGCTGCCTTCCTGGGAAACCCAGGTATGAGTCATCGTCCCCGAGTTTAGGGTTCCTTAATAGAAGCTGACTTAGGGTCTTGGATGATAAAGAATTCACCTGCAATTCAGGAGACCCGGGTTTGATTCCTGGGTGGGAAAGATTCCCTAGAGGAGGGTATGGCTACCCACTCCTATATTCTTGCCTGGAGAATCCCTTAGGCAAAGGAGCCTGGTGGGCTACGGTCCATAGGGTCACAAAAGAGTTGGGCACAACTGAAGCGACTTAGCATGCACGCACTAGCTGATTTTTAGGAGAAAGTGAATTTGCTGAAAGGAGATTGCATGCCTCACAAAATCCCAAGGAAGGCTGAAGATAAGATTCAGAATAAGGCAGGATTCAGGTCAGTTCTCCAGCACAGAATTCTCTAGTCAGTGTTCACAGTGGGAGTGGAGGGCTAACCACTCACTATCTTTTGGGTCTTTCTTTGCTGTACTCAAAAGTCATTCCCAGGACACAGTCTGATTGGCCCAGCCTGGGTCCCACCATTGCACCTTGGCCAAATAAAGCAAGGCGCCTGATTGACAGTCCTACACATGGGAAAGAAGCAATGCTTTAAGAGGAAATTAGGGTAATTTACCAAAGGAAGGAGGCATGGATTCTGGGTGGCGAAAAATGACCCTGCTAATCACCTGCATCTCAATTCTAGGTCACAGTTCAAGTGACACCCTGTCTTCAGCTCCCAGGGATTAGATCCAGGCAGAGCTAGATCCCCATATTAATGATACTTTAAACTTCCTAGAGGCCACCAGATCAAGGCAGTCAGCCTGGGTTCCTCAGGATTTTGGGTTCTTACAGCCTTGTTCTTCCTACCCCCGGGGGGATAAACAATAGGCCAGCATCTGAGGGGACCATAAGGAACTTTTACCTGAAGTAGACAAACCTTAAGACTGTCAGAACTCCTTCTTTCCTTCCCTCCTTCCTTTTTCCCTTCCTTCACTTATCAAACAAATAATAAGGGTCTCCTGTGCTGGGTACTAGGAATACAGAAGAAATTAAGACAGAGTCAGTCTCTGATTTTTGCTTATCGGCTATGAATGGCCTATGCAGTCAGCCATTTGACTGTCCACCATTAGTCACCACTGGTAGCTTTGTCCATGATATGGGTGGATGTCTTGTCTTTATCGTTTATCTCTCGGGAGACACCGACATGGCTATCATTTTCGAGTCTCCAATGGAAGATGCCTCTTAGGGGTGTGTCCTCTTTCTTTCTGTCAGAGGACTAGTTTATAGAGAGGGGGTGTGTGTGTCTGTGTGTCTGTGTGTCTGTGTAGGTGGTGAAGGTGTGGAGAGCCAGCTGAACATGGAGGCAGCCCGACTCCCACTGTATATTATCATGGACTTTGAGGAGCAAAGCAGAAACTGAGGAGGGTTGACAGGGGCAAATGTCCTTTTAGAGAGTCCTGTTCAGGATGCCAGCTTGCTTTTGCTTTGATCATGGTCCTTGGCTCTGTCTGACTGATGACATCTAAATACAAGACTAAAAGCTAGACGACGGTGTGACTCAAGAGACACAGCTCACCTGTGTTTCCTGTGGCCCCATCTGGGGCTCCTGTCCCCAGTTTCTACTGACTCTATAGGAATGAGTCCCTTCTCTTGATTCCTTTTCTTTAAAGATCTGACTTATGCTCACTCTCCAAATATTGGTCGAATGGAATTTTGTTGCTTGTATTTCATTGTCAGAATAAGAATTGTCTTGGATTCAGTTCAGTTCAGTCACTCAGTCGTGTCCAACTCTTTGTGACCCCAGGGACGGCAGCATGCCAGGCCTCCCTGCCCATCACCAACTCCCGGAGCTTACTCAAACTCATGTCTATCTAGTAGGTGATGCCATCCAACCATCTCATCCTCTGTCGTCCCCTTCTCCTCCTGCCTTCAATGTCTTGGGTTATACACCCCTAAAAGGCAGGCACTCTGTGACCTGAGGGATAGAGGATGTAAGGTGTCCAGGGTCCCATCCTTAATAGTCATCTGGAATAACTTTTACGCTATAATCTGCCCTGTGCCAGCGGGCAGTTGATCAGCATTTGATGTGAATAGTGCTGACTTCACTCAGAGAAGATGCACCAACAGGGATGGGCAGGACCTGCTGCTGATGAGACAGCCTAATTTCACTGTTCCAGCAGCGCAGCTATGAACAGCCAATCTCCAAAGCTGATCGCTGACTGCACATAGCAAGACAGTCCGGAACGTTTAGCGTCAGTATCTTAAAATGCCTCGAGATGGGGAAACGAGATGTGTTGCTTTTCACTTTTCAGACTTGGATGCGTCTCTAGAGAAAGCAGAAAGGGAAAATTTCAGAGATGCTACTGGGCTTCTAAACTTTAGTATTTATATTTGCTGGTAGCAATATAGAAGCCCAGTAGCATCTCTGAAATTTTCCCTTTCTGCTTTCTCTAGAGACGCATCCAAGTCTGAAAAGTGAAAAGCAACACATCTCGTTTCCCCATCTCGAGGCATTTTAAGATACTGACGCTAAACGTTCCGGACTGTCTTGCTATGTGCAGTCAGCGATCAGCTTTGGAGATCGGCTATTCATTTTATACACACACACACACACACATAAATATATATATTCAGTTTTGGCCAACATAGAAGTTTTATTCATCTCTTTTACCCCTTTATTCTTGTGTTCAATGCATATTAAAAAGCAACAACATAGAAAACAGAGCAAATATTCATTAATACATACCATGTACATTAATGAGTGATGCTTCTTAATCGACTATAGTTTTTAGCATATTTCTTTAGATCATTTCACTTTTTATGAAAGTATATTTATTTGTAAAGGATGATGTATATCATCATAAAAGATGGAAAAAACACTAAACTTATTGAAATAAATATACACTGACTAAATAAGTTTTACTTGAGTATCATCTAAAATCATCCTGCATTCTAGGCAGGCACTGTGGCGATTGAGTGGAACTTTGAAAAATGGGTAGAATTTCAAAATGATAAGGTGGCATAATAAAGTGAGGCATCTATGCCATTTAGATCAGATTAACCTCATGCTACTTAGATCAGAAATGACAGGGAATCTTAGTAAAAATGAGGATTCCTGGGTCCCGCTTACAGACTTACTGAGGAGATAATAGCTAGATGAGCAAAGGCTTGATGAAAGGAAAGTTTGAGATGTGGTCAAGGATGTGAACAAGGACTGTGAACAGCCTGGCCAGTTCACAGGGTTTGCTTCCGAGAGACGAGAGATGGACAAGAGTGCCCGGGCAGGTTGGTAGGCTGTCCTAGACAAAACGAGGGTGCTGCAGTTAGGTAAAAGGGGAGAATGGCCTTGAGAGGTCAATCATCAGTCTCTGCCACTGTTCCTAACCTTGGTCTTTCATCAGGAATCCTCCAGAAGAAGCCAGACAAACCTCCTAAGCACCAGTGAAATTTGTCTGTAAATGTGTCCTCTCAAGAGGGGTCTTTTTAGCTCTGCCTGCTAGTAGATTCTTTAAACCAGGATCAACTTTTTATTCCATCTTCCTGGAAGTAGATTAACTCAAATCACATATCAAGCAGTTGAGAAACAACATTTTCATGAGGAAGGGACTTCTCTGGCAGTCCATTGGTTAAGACTTCGCCTTCCAAAGCAGAGGGTGAGGGTTCAATCCTTGGTCGGGGGCTTAGGTCCCACCAGCCTCACAGCCAAAAAAATAAAACACAGAACAGAAGCAACATAGTAATACATTCAATAAAGACTTTAAAAAGAATTCACATCAAAAAAAAAAAAAAAGATTTACAAGAGGAATATGTCTCTATTCCTTTCCAGCCCCCAGTCCCCTTCTACATACAATA